TGAAGACGATGACTTTGTAAGCGAGGTTGAAAGGGTGGAGGAGACAATAAAGGAGAAGAAGGAGATGAGGAAGGAAGACGATGTTAGCGGCTGTAGTTTTGGTGATGGTTTCAACGAAGAGGATGAAGATGGTTTTGCTGATGTTGTGAACAAGGAGGTTGACGCGAGAGATGTTAGACCTCGAGGCTATGACACTGAGTTTTGGAGTCCACTGTTAAACGGTGACTACAGTGGGTCTGATGCTGTCAATGTCATCTACAACGAGGATGAGATTGTTGCTGATTTAACGAAGGCTAGTGGTCCAAGACGGTACACATCATTCACTAATGACGCCTTTGACCATGTCGTGGAGGTTGGTGGTGTTAGCAACTCGAGGAAGGAGGATGGTGATGATAAGAAAACGTGGATGGGGTCAAACAACCCGTGGATGAGTGGGAACAATGTTAATTCAAGCTTTGAAAGGAGGCCCCGTGTTTCAACTCGAAAGCTGGAAGATGTGGANAGATTCCTGACATGGATTTGGAAGAAGCAGATGGTAGGATATTTGTGGGGAAGGTTTTTGGAAACAAAGAAGATTGTCAGATATCTTTGGCAATATACGCTATAAGGAATCAATTTAAGTTCAAACAAACGAAGACAAAGGTTGATTCTTTTGTTGTGCAGTGTCCTGATCCAAGATGTGATTGGCGTGTTACAGCCCATGAGATTAGGGGCTGTGGATATTATGAGATAAGGAAAGCTCAGTTTGATCATACCTGTCCAATAGATTATCGCATGGGATACAAGAGTAGAGCAACATCAAAGGTGATAGCAGCTGTATACAGATCGAAATTTGGAGTCAGAGGCAAAGGCCCAGTGCCATCTGAACTGCAAAGGCTTTTTATGGAGGATCTGCGTATCAATGCATCTTACATGAAATGCTATAGGGCAAAGGAGAAGGCTTTGGTTGGCATCCATGGCTCTGAAGAGGAGTCTTATTTGAAGCTTCCTGAGTATTTACATATGCTGAAACTTGCAAATCCAGGGACCGTTTCAGACATTGAAACATAAACTGATGATGATGGTGATGAGAGGTTCCTTTATCTATTCCTTGCATTTAGGGCATCCATAAGTGGCTTTAAGAAGCTCCATCTAGTGTTGGTGATAGATGGGACGCACCTAGGAGGGAAGTACAAAGGGGTGTTGCTTACTGCTAGTGGACAAGATGCAAACTTCCAGATTTTTCCTTTAGCTTATGCTATTGTGGACGGGGAGGATGAAGACTCATGGACTTGGTTCCTGATGAAGCTTGAGCGAATTTTAGGTGATTCACCAAGGCTAGCAATCATATCAGACCGTGCTCCATGCATTGCTGCAGCTGTGAAACGTGTGTACCCGCAAGCTAATCATGGTTGTTGTATTGTGCACTTGGCAAGAAACGTAAATTCTCGTTACTCCTCCAAAAACTTGGCGCAAATGGTTACCAAGACTGCAATGGCTTACCGTATTGGAGATTACAGAGAGCTTTACAGTAAGGTAAGGGCTCAGAGAAGTGACTGTTGGGTATACTTGGGAAAGATTGGAGTTGCTCACTGGTCTAGAGCCAATTTCCCAGGAGATCGCTATAATATCATGACCAGTAACATTGCAGAGCAGTTGAACTATGCTCTGTCCGAAGGAAGAACATCACCAGTTATGGAGTTGGTGATTTTCATTCAAAGAATGATGACGAGGTGGTTCAATGCGAGGAGAAAGAATGCTGAGAAACATAGAGGGATGGTGAGCATTGAGGTCGACAAGGAGATGACAAAGAATATGGCAAAAATGAAGGGGAGTCAAGTTAATGCATCCTCGAGTTGGTTCTGTGAAGTTGTTGGGAAGTTTGGTAAGAAGCCCAGAGTTCATCTTGCTGATAAACAGTGTTGTTGCAAGTACTTTGACAAAATCAAGATACCGTGTGGACACGCAATGATGGCTGCTGATAGTATGGGGGTTCCTTACGAAACTTTGGTTGGTCACTGGTACAAGACTTCGACATGGAGAGAGACATATGCTGGCATGATTAATGCAGAAGGCGATCCTCGAGATGTGGACATACCGGAGGAAGTGAAGAAGCTGGTGTTGCTTCCCCCTTTGACAAGAAGTCTCC